AATGCGAAACGCGTGTTGGAGCGGAGAGGCCGCGCGGGTCACAATCTCATCTACAGATCCTAATCGGTCGTCCGTCTCTTTCTGTTTCGCGTGTTTCTCGGCCCTTCGTTTAAGCGCTTAAACCCTCGGTTCGAGGTACGCGAGAGCGCGTACGCCATTATCTTATTTACGCCTCATTGTCTCAATGTATCATAGCAATATCCAGCAGTCACTCGTACCGAGCAACAACACGCTGCCTCGAGTCGTGTCCACTCCACGTGAAAGTAGCTCGTTTTTAGTCTTCTTTCGTCCGTCCAGCCTCCTCTTTTCCATTCGACCATACTCCCGCTGGACGACGTTTCTACACGCGCGATTAATTATAATTCGATTCTGACGTATCTCGGTCGGACAATTTAAAAAAACGTTCGTTATCTTACAATTGTTTTTTCACCTCTTGCGCTGGAATGACACGCACGTTGAGAATTTTTTCCCTCCCAAAATTGCGATATTTTCTCAGTCTTAAATATGTTTAAATAGAACGCTAAAACCCATGAGACAAAACGAATAATAATAAATTTATTACTTTTCGGTAACAATTTCTCTCCGGTGATATTTCTCTCAAATTCAAAAAGAAAGCGGCAAATTATACGATTTGGTCACTCGTTATGGTCCGCGAACCGCAGTTGTCAACCGCAAGAGGTTAACTTTTTGCGCTGGAATAACGTGCCACGTATGTTGATAATTGTTCCAAAAATTGCTATATTTTGTTCAGTTTTAAGTATATTTAAACATAACCAAGGCAAAACAAATAATAAATTTATTACTTCTTGGTAATAATTTCTATCAATTATATTTCTCTCAAATTCAAAAAGAAAGCGGCGAATTATTATACATACGGTTTGGTCACTCGTTATGGTCCGCGAACCGCAGTTGTCAGCGCAAGAGGTTAAATATTTCATACTTTAACTAGTACTTGTTAATTTAAGCCGATTAATGTTCAATTTGAACAAGTTGAATTAAAATTCAAAGCAGGAATTTCCACGGTACTGAAACTACGAGCGGTTAAGAAAGAAAATACGGACGTTTCCTTGCGGCGTGAGAAGAGAAAATAAAGAAGAGAAGAGAAGAGAAGAAAGGTTGCTGAAATATGGTTTATGGTTAAGCAGTAAAGCAATTTCCTATTTCTCGTAGGTCTGACCTTGCCTCGCTCTTCCATTATCCATTGACTTTGCGAACAGAACGAAACTTTTATTCCATGCTTTGCCGTGTTTTGACAGCCGTTGGGTTCTGCCTGTTACCTTTACGATTTACCGTAAATCTTTATTGCACCAACTCGATGAAATTTACGACGCCGAACGAAGAAACAGGAAGGCTCGTATGAATTCCACCAAAAAACACACAGACCAGGCTGACGCAGACTGTCTCATAGATTGTTCAAATTCCAAATGAATCACGACGTGATTAAGGAGCCATCTTTCCGAATGAATTAAGACGAATAAAGATAATCTAGAACGAACAAGATGCAGTAGGATGGGTAGTTGGAAAAAGAGAAAGAAAGAGAGAAAGAGAGAGAGAGAGAGAGAGAGATTTGAAGGTGTAATCGTGAGTCACGTGAGACAAGATATTTAGAAAAGTTTCGGACATTTATTTTAACAATTATACGCACGTTGCTCGTGCAACATATATATACATACATATATATATATATATATATATATATATATA